ATAAACTACTGAAAAAATCCAAGAGCCTGTGGTCCTGTTTCTCACGAGTAAAGTGATGAATTGAGGATGAGTATAGAGAATGTAAATATTCAAAGAATTTTTCCAAAGAATCCATATTTTGTAGAGTGTGGGTATTTGGTCTAGTGGTATAATTTTCGCATAGGTTGTGAGAGGTCCCGAGTTCAATTCTCAGAATTACCCTTTTACCTTCTGCATTTACAGCAATAATATAGTGTCATGTGTTACATGACAGTAGATAAAAGAGTTAATTCTAGCAACGGTTTATGATTATTGTGATTTTTCAAAATTGGTCATCGCCTTTTAAGTTGGACAAAATAGACCCTTGACTATCATATAGAGTCAACTATAATATAGTGTCATCTGTTACATGACAGTAGATAAAAGAGTTAATTCTAGCAACGGTTTCTGACTATTGTGATTTTCCAAAATTGGTCAACGCCTTTTAAGTTGGATATAATAGACCCTTGACTATCATATAGTGTCATTACATGACAGTAGATATAAGAGTTAATTCCAGCAATGGTCCTCCCACTATTGCGATTTTCCAAAACTGGTCATCGTCTTTTAATTTGGACAAAATAGATCCTTGACTATCATATAGTGTCATTACATGACAGTAGATATAAGAGTTAATTCCAGCAATGGTCCTCCGTTCCAAAATTGGTCATCGTGTTTTAATTTGGACAAAATTGACCCTTGACTTTCATATAGTGTCATTACATGAGAGTAAATATAAGAGTTAATTCCAGCAATGGTCCTCCGACTATTGCGATTTTCCACAATTGGTCATCGTTTTTTAGTTTGGACAAAATAGACCTTTGACAATCAGATTTGTTCCAGCAATGGTCCTTCCGTTATATATAAGAGTTAATTCCACCAATGGTCCTCCGATTATTGCGATTTTCCAAAATTAGTCATCGTCTTTTAATTTGGACGAAATAAACCCTTCACTATCAGATTTGTTCCAGCAATGGTCATTCCGTTAAGCATCAGTTTAATTAGTTGGCGTTAAGTAGAGGGTTATAGGGGTATTCAAGTCATTTCCTCTTGTTGAATTACGTATCAGCACATCGCTACTCTCTCTTTGAATCGCCTCCACGAACCTTCGGCCACAAAGCGCGATACAGCACATCAGCAAATTCAACAAGTAGTCACTAAAGGGCGTTTGGTTCACTTTAATGTTGCTGTAGTTGAATTGAAATTCAGTGTATGCGTCACTGTACATTATGTTTTTCCCTCCTTTTGTTGAATTGCATGAATTTGAGGAAGGAAAAACATATGAAATGACATTACTAGCCTTGGTTGTTATTACTATTATTATTACACAAGGGTATTTTAGTCTTTATACCACTTATTTCTTTCTCAATTCCAATAATTCTATTTCTACCTACCAAACAACGTAATTGAATTCCTACTTTATTCCCACCTTATTTTTTTCTTACCGAATTACAATTCATTTCCCCCCTAATTCCTTCCTTCCAACGAAACACTACATATTAGTCAGATTCAAACACCGTGGCTGTAGTTATTTAACAAGTAGACACTAAGTACATAATAGTCAGATTCAAACACCGCGGCTGTAGTTGACTTGCTCTGCTCGACTCTTGCAAAACTCGGTGCCCGTAACTACTAGTTTGTATTGGATTCCACTTAGCTGCCGGGGGACCATGCCGGCGTGATGAAGGTGTAGAGCGATCAATTTCAACGTCTCTGACTGGAGAAGAAAATGGTTCAGGAAATGGCGAATTCCAAACCTTTGTTCCTGATGATCTAGGCCACCATGGCGGTTGGCGTTGTTTTCTCGGCTTTCTATGTCTTCTATGCCGTATACTCCTCTTCTGCCTCATCATCCTCCGCGCGTATAGCCTCTTCCTTTTCTCTCTCCCCGATTGCTCCTTCCTCTTCGTCAGGTACATTCTCACTCCACACTGTCTATGTGCACACTGATTGCATCACATGCATACTTGCAGTGGCGGACCCAGGAATTTTTTGCAGCGGGGCAAAATATTAGCAAAATTGATAATTAGAAAAAAAAAATGAAACACTTAAAAAGTATATCCATAAATAATGACACATCAAAACATTATAAAAATATTCATAACAAAATATGAATATAATCAATTTGATAAAATAATTTGAATAAAAGATCCATTATAACTTAGACATCTCATTTTTTTTTTTGGGTAAACATCTCATCTCATTATTAATATATAAATGAAGATTATATTATTGTGTTGAAACAATATGTACTATTAATAATAGTGAAAATGTGAAAAGGTAGTGTTAATAGTGGAATAATAAGAAAAGAAAAATATTCATAACAAAATATGAACATAATCAATTTGATAAAATAATTTGAATAAAAGATTCATTAGAAATTACACATCTCATCATTAATATATAAATGAAGATTATATTATTGTGTTGAAGCAATATGTACTATTAATAATAGTGAAAATGTGAAAAGGTAGTGTTAATAGTGGAATAATAAGAAAAAGAAATGCTGACAACAAATAGAGGAGAATCAAACCCTGGCCTACATTTTGTCCACCCACGCGCTCATCCAACTAGGCCAAGCTACACTTTGTTAAGATTTCTCTATTTTATAATACTAATACTAAAACTTGTACTATATATACACATATACATACAAAGATTATATAAGGGGTGGGGGTGGGGTGGGTGGGGGCAACTGACCCCACTGCCCCCACTGTAGGTCCGCCTCGGCATACTTGTTTAATTCCAATTTTTCTTTTTCCAGCTCATAATGGCCATAGATTTTTGCATTTTTCGCATGCTATTTTTAAATTTTTATTAGAATTCAGTATAATCTGAATATTTCACTCATCGGAGAAGAGAGAGCAAGGATGACCAAAATTATGATATTTTTCACATAAATATGAGCTGGTAATAATGCTGAGAGATAATGAAAAGAAAGAGGAAAGTAGAACTCTATGTATTTTTAGATGGAGTGAATGGTGGGAGCTAATGATTTTCTTGGTTTGTGAATTAATTGAGTGATTTTTAGTTATTATGATTCTGAATTTTCTATTAATGGGGGTGTATAGCAATATAGGTTTTTGTTCAATTGTCTACAAACCCTCATATTTTTAGTAGAGATAGTGATTTAATATCTGTTGCATTGGTTGAGAGTACATACATTTGTTGTACACCATGGAGATTCGTGGAGGCGTTTCAAAGGGAGAGCTACTTTGTGCGGATACGTAATTCAACGAGGAAATGACTTGAATACCCCTCTACTCAATGTCTCAATGCTAACTAAGCTAATGCTTAACAAAGGATCATTGCTGGAACAAATCTGATAGTAAGGATCTATTTTGTCCAAATTAAAAGACGATGATTAATTTTGAAAAATCGCAATAGTTGGAGGACCATTGCTGGAATTAACTCGTAGACATAATCAATACTTTAAACATTAAATATAATATTTTATAACATAAATCTAATATTTTATAGCAAAATTGTAATGGACAATTATCTCATAGGTCTCAATCCTCGAGACTTGTCGGATCTAATAAAAAATGGGTCACAAAAGAATTACAGATATAATCAATATTTTCGTTTATAAAACTTACATATTGAGTTTTGCTATTTTCAAGAAGGGTCTGACTCCATATGCCGACCTCAATTCCTCGAGAGAGAGGAAAGGTTTGAGCACACCTCGACTTATGGCGAATATGCAAGTTTTATAAATGATTTGTTGAAGTAATTATTTAATTTGGCAGTTGGACAACAATTCAAAATATATTTCTATTTGTGGACTCTTTATAAGGATTCTCTATTTGCCTCTAGTCTAAGGTCTAACCATTCTAGTACTTCCATTCTAGCCCAATCGGTCCTAGGCAGATTTAGCTCGGGTAAGACAGTCTACGTCAAGCCATCGGCTCCCTCGGTTCACACCATTCCCCTCATGTCGACCCTATCACCTAGGCGAATTGATCTCCACCTCGGCTCAAAATTTTTGCGTGGGTCAAGCAAGGTCAGCTAATTAACCAGTGCTACACTCGGACTTGGAGGCAATAGGGTCGCGATCGGTTGTACGTAGGTGGTCTCACATGGCACCCGGTGACGGAGTCAGCTCAGACCGGTGGTACCCTCCCTCGAATTTTCTCTACAAGCAGATTAAGCATAGCCGCGACTTGTTGGATCATGACCACCCAATCTTGAAGGCCCAAGGTCAGTCGTGGGGCGATCGAGGTCGGTCCCCTGTTTTGTTATTGCTCAAATGATGCCTTGGTAACTACCTGACCCTACAGGTAAGGTTTATCAACTTGCGATCCCATTGAGGTTGATTCTGCCCGGGGTGACGTTGGTGTTGTGGGAATTGTAAGAATTGTAATAGTTGGACCTTGCCACCATTGGAGTGATGTTTGCAATAAAATCGTAAGAAGCAGGCTTACAAGCTCTTAATGAAAGCACTAATGGTGGAAAAAAATTCAAAAATTAATGTAGAGCAACGAATCAATTAACTAGATTAATTAATAATTAATGATAAAGAATGTAAAGATTGTACGAAAAGACAAAGTGTACTTGTAATATCGTTAATTGCTCAAAAGACGAGTACAAAGATGTTGTAACAAGACAATTCATGTCCTAAACAAAGACAAATGATTTATTTTTATACTTGGCTCCTTGTAACTGTCCGTGCATACCAGGTGCCACCCGCTCGGGGCGGGTGGTTATGGTCCTATTTTGACCACGTCTTCTGCTCATCTCGCCGACCTCAAGGATGTCGGCCCGACATCATGGGCTCAGGTAAAACCATTTTGGGTCAACCTAGCCCGGGTCGGTTCGCTTCGACTCGAGTTCATCCTCATAATGTCTATCAGTTTGCTTTAATAATTTCATGATTTAATCGGGTTTGTTTAGAAACTCGAAAAATAATTTTTTTTGGATTTTTCGTGTTTAGAAAAGTAACAAATTAAACATCTAATGTCTAAACCCATATAGGCTATACATAATTAAAATATCATCTATTTAAGAAAAGAGCAATACATTACATTGATTTCATCAGAATTAAAAAGACAGACTTAGAGATTCCAAATAGCAAAAGGAAATTAAAAATGATAAAAGATTGAGATAATGTAAGTCCCAATTACACAGCACTAAGAAATGAAGTAGGACTAGGGGGTACAGGGATATCAACTGTCCCCTCCAGCATTAGTAAAACTTTCTTCATTGAAGGGCGGAGTGATGGTTCTTCTTGGATACACCATAGACTAATTCTTACCATTCTCTCTACTTGTCTCTTCTCCACTTTCTCTTCCCCAACTACTTTACTTACCTCACCCGCCTCAAAGGAGTTGTATACCCATTCTTCAAGAACAGCTTCTTCATCACAAAGGCTCCAATCCACACTCTTTCGACGAGTGATTAGCTCCAAGAGCACTATCCCAAAGCTGTATACATCTGCTTTTACTGTCACTGCCATCTTTCTGTGCCATTCTGGTGCCACATAGCCTCTTGTTCCTCTAACTCCTGTGTAAGTTCTGGTCTGGTCTTGCTTCATATGCTTTGCCAATCCAAAGTCTGAAATCTTTGCCACACATCGATCATCCAAGAGTATGTTTTGAGGCTTTATATCACAGTGGATGATTTGTGTTTCACACTCTTCATGTAAATACAGAAGGCCCCTTGCTATATCTCGAGCAATGCCAATTCTCTCCTCCCACTCCCAGCATGGCTGTTTCTGTGGCGTGAAAAGTGTGTCAGCCAGAGATCCGTTGCTCATGTATTCATAGACCAGAAGCCTTTTAGCTCCATCTATGCAGTAACCCAGAAGCTTCACTAAATTACGGTGATGGGTTTTACCAATAGCTTTCATTTCATTCTGAAACTCTGTTTCCCCATCTTCCAAAACTTTTTCTAGCCTCTTCACAGCTACTAATTTCTGGCCTTCTGCCTGCACTCCTTTGAAAACTGCCCCAAATGCCCCTCTGCCAAGCTCTTCCTTGAAATCATTGGTTACTCTCTCTAATTCTGCATAGGTGAAAGCCTGGGGCCCAACATCCTCCCAAAACTGCCCATTATTATCTCTCTCACAGATCTCTCTATATCTCCAAATCTTACTTTTGTGTATCAGCATCCCAGAGATTGCCAAGACCAGAAGAGCAAAAGCTAATAATGAAATGCCGACAACTAAGATGGCTTTGTGCAGCTGTTTTTTGCTTTCTGGGGAATGATCAACTAGACCTCCTCCTCCTCCTCCTCCTCCTCCTCCAATATTTGCAAGAAACCCAACCTTAATTAGAGCTACATTAGAATTATCAACCGACCTTCTTCCGTATATGAGGGGCAGTCTTTCCTTTCCACATTGACCATCTTTAAACTGTGCTGCATCACAATTGCAGTCCTCCAGACAGGCTTGCTCACACTCTTCTTTAGTTGAAGTTTTGAAATTTTCATAAGAATTTCTTTGCCACACTGTGTTGTCCACTGCTCTCATTTCATAATTGATAATACCTCCACCTGTTGCTTTACAGCTTCTTGTACTGAAATTTCTATTGCACCCTGAACTCCAGTTGCCTGGAATTACAAAGTCAAATCCTGGGAGACATCTGCATTCTGCTTCTTTGTCCATCATAGTGCAATAAGCATTCAGCCTGCACAGGCCTATTGGGGCGCATTTATTATCCGTATTTGACCATACAACAGACCACTTTCCATGACCAAACGGATGTGAATACACCCTAAAAATACCATCCACATCTATTTTGGCAATATAAATTGTTTTTTCCTCTGGATTGCCTCTTGATGGGATCAAGTTCTTGATAATATTGATGGTAGAATTGATCAAGTAAAGGCTACCATCTTCATCAAGATTTAGAGTAATATTACTACCTGTTCCATCAGTGTTGGATGCATAGTAAGCATTTTGGGGAATGTATGGACCTTGGAGTGGATATTGTACAAGGTTTCCGTCAGATTGCATGGCGATAATGAAAACTCCATAGTTGTCATCATTTTCTGAAGCACTGGAAACCAAACGTTTTCCATTCAAAAGGCTCTGTCCAGGCAAAAGAGTGTTTGTTGGATTTTCAAAGCTCTGCCATATGATCTTCTCACCAGAACCGTAGACCACGAAATTTCCGTTGTCTAACATGGAAGCTGATGAAATAGGAAGAGCATCAGTAGGAATAATGTCGATATCTTGGCCTTGGCCATGGCCTACCTCCACAACTAGCCTTCCATCACTCTTCAACACCAAAGTTGAGTTGGTGGGGAAAATGGGAGTATTGTCCCTGTTGGCTGTCCAGACGGGTGTCCTCTCAGGTATGGCGGCTATGAATATTCCGACGGCATAGCCACTACTGCCTTGCTGATAGAAACCGAAAGCGAAATGGCCATTGGGTGATAGCCATGAAGACGAAGACTTGCCGGTTGGTGTTAAGGAGGAGCCTAGGCTTATGTTGGTGGAACTTTGTTGAGCTGCTGCTGCTGCTGTATAAATTGCAGCATAAAAGAGATAAAACAATAGCAAAGGGGACATGGATTTGATGTTCTATTTTGGGTTGCCTTTGTTTTTGTTGTTGTTGTTGTGTTTTCATCTTCTGGGCAGGGAATAGGGAGGGTATAAAAGCTTTTGATGAGTGAACTTTGGGCAGAGTTGACCTTCAAGTCAACACGCGGCTTGAATTGAATCTGTCACAGTACTACATATTATAGAAAATTTAGTGCTGTCAATTTAAACAAATAAAATAAAATTCAGTTGTATTTAAATATGAATATTCGTTGGAAATTCAGTCATATCATTTTCAAATACTGTGGCTGTAGTTATAATTTATTATTTGTTTTTTTTTTTTTTTGAAAGTTACTGGCTCTATTACATTGTAGTATCTATTCATATACTTTCTTAACCTACTGAAACACAAAGAACCAATAACGCCTCCACTGAGGCTCGAACACATAATCTTCCAAATGGAAGTCCAACCCGGGTACCATTATTTGTTACTACATGCATGTATGTACAAGAAATATTAATGTTCGTTTGCTAATCATCAATTAATCTATGAGTTAATATTCAAAATAATCTTCGACTATAGTGATTTTTCTCAATTTCGTTCAATACGTTTTTGATGACTTAATATAGTCCTACACTTTTGTATTTTTGCTCAATTTAGTCAATGAAATTGAAAAAAAAAAAAAAAAAAAGAACTATTTTGAGTATTAACTCATTAATATATCTATATGCTTATGTTACTGGAGTAATCTAATGTTTTTTTAACCTTCTATATAAAGGTTAGTTAACTCCCGTTATAAAAATTCATAATATTTTAAATTACTCCATCCGTATTAAGAAGGCAATGCTATAGAAATCAATGAGCTTCAGTTTGCCTTCCAGTGGTGTGATATATTTGCCAGAAGGCCTTTTGCGGTGGAAGTAGAGACTCCCTTGCCCTCACCAACTTGGCTTCGTCGGGGATAACAAGGATCTCGTGGAAGATTAAGGATGCCATCCTCTTCGTTCGCTCTTGTCTAAGTTCGTGGAGATCGTCGATTAGGCACATATATCGGGAGGCCAATCAAGTTGCTGATGCTCTTGCAACGGCTGCAGGACTTAACTTTAGCTCTTTAAGGATTTTTTGCTCTTTCGATACCTTGCCGGTAAAAGATTTGATTTGTTGTGTTTTATAATACTTTTAATATAGTTTCTAATATATAAATTTTATATACTAATACTAAACTTAGTATTATGAAAAAGTTAAATTCAAAATAACATCAGTCAAATCTTGTTAACCGAACCAGACACATAAAATGAAAGAAGAGAGTGTTGTTAAGAAGTCTTAAAGTATTGTTTATATATGCAATTATATTATGGTATTACTTTATTTTTTTGCAAATTGTAAAGTACTACATTTATGCTATAAAGTATTATTACGTATAAGTCTTAAAATATTGATTATAATTGCAATTCTATTCTGTTATATTTTATTTTCTTCAAATCGTTTATTAGAGGTTTGCTATAAAGTACTACATTTATGTTATAGAGTAATATATATAAGACTTAAAATATTGATGATATCTGCAATTTTGTTGTATTATTACTTTATTTTCTGCAAATTATATACTATAATTTTGCTATAAAGTACTACAATTATGATATAAATTATTATATTTAAAATTTAAAATATTGATAGATTACATCAGTAATTCTTTTGTGACCCATTTTTTATTAGATCCGACTAGTTTCGATGATTGAGACCTGTGGAATAACTGTCCATTACAGTTTTGATATAAAATATTATATTTATGCTATGCTTAAAGTATTGATTATATCTGTAATTCTGTCATGTAATGTAGGGCCGTTAACGAACCGAACATAAACGAACGAAGGTTGTTCGTGTTCATTTGTTAAGATTTTTGGGGTGTTCGTGTTCATGTTTGTTTGTTAAGGTTTTTGAAAATCATGTCCGTGTTCGTTTGTTAAGCGTTCATTAGTGTTTGTTAACGTTCGCAAACACGTTCACGAACGTGTTCGTTTACGTTAACGAACACGTTCACGAACGTGTTCGTTAACGTTAACAAACATGTTTGTTAACAAACACGTTCACGAACGTGTTCGTTAACGTTAACAAACATGTTTGTTAACAAGCACGTTCACGAACATGTTGGTTTCCGTTCATGAACACGTTCGTGAACCTTTAATAACCAAACACATGCACATGTTCATGATCACAATTCGTTCGTGAACAAGAAATAATCTACGTTCATGTTCGCGAACATTATTAAACGAACACTAAACGAGCTTGTTCACGAACACAAATGAACTTGTTCACGAACATTATTAAACGAACACAAACGAGCTTGTTCACGATCTCTTAGCAAACGAGCATACAACTGTTTAAGCTCTGTTCGTTTATTAACCGAGCTCTAATTTTTGTTTGTTAATGATTTGTTTACCTTAACAAACAAACATAAACGAACGTTTACCGAACACGAACACGAGTAGTTTGCCGAAAGCTCTGTTCGCTAACGCCCCTAATGTAATGATACTATATTTTCTTCAAATTATCTATTATTGTTTTTCTATAAAATAAAATATTTACGCGTATTACAGCTGTGAATTTTCTGCAGAGTTCACCAGGACCAAAGTCTTGGTCATCAAGTCAACCCATTCAAATGATTCAAATCATTCAATGGATTTATGGATCATCATATTAAAAACATTCAGTGCTTTCAATTTATGAATTTAAACAAATCTAAAATAAAATCAGAGTTCACCAGGACCAAAGTCTTTGGTCATCAAGTCAATCCATTCAATCATATCGGACATCATATTAAATAACATAATAATAATAATAATAATAATAATAATAATAATAATAATGTCAAGCACCTTGTGCAGTGTGTGGTGAATAATAATAATAATAATAATAATAATAATAATAATAATAATAATAATATCAAGCACCTTGTGCTCAGATGACATGTAGTAACTTCTCACATGCGAGAGGTCATGGAGCCTCAGTGAAGGCGTTGAGTCAGTAGCATCCAAAATAATAATAATAATAATATAATAATGGTATTAGAACAGTAGTAGAATGGAGCTGGGAGGAAGATGGCAGAATTCTTTTTTGCATTGATTGGGATGCCTTGTACAAAGAGGATGGAAGGTATTTATAGTATTAGCATGAGAATAAACAAATATTATTTATGTAAAAGATAAACTGTTGAGTTATCTTTTCTCCTAAAGAACATATTCGCCAAGGTGGAGATTGTTGAGTTTGTCTCATATATGGATTAGGAATAAGTGTTTGTCTCATACTAGGAGTAGGAGTGAAACGAGTAGACCTATTGTATAAGGATTAGATGCCTATAAATATATTGGTTGTATCCCTAAAGGGTTGTGTGTCACCATTACACCATCACAAATAATAAGAGAATACAGAGTTATCTTTTCTCCTAAAGAACATATTCGCCAAGGTGGAGATTGTTGAGTTTGTCTCATATATGGATTAGGAATAAGTGTTTGTCTCATACTAGGAGTAGGAGTGAAACGAGTAGACCTATTGTATAAGGATTAGATGCCTATAAATATATTGGTTGTATCCCTATAGGTAGTGTCACCACTACCACCATCACTATGAATATAAGAATTGTTTCACTCCCGTGGATGTAGGCACCTTGCCGAACCACGTAAATCTTGCTCTTATTTACCCTTTATGCTATTATTATTTTTCTTGTTCTTGTTAATCTCAACAAATTGGTATTAGAGCACTGTTGAGATGGTCAGTTCAAGTACAAAATTCGAGGTATCAAAGTTTGGTGGTATAGGGAATTTTGGGTTATGGCTGTCTAGGGTAAAGGATTTGTTGGCACATCAGGGCCTTCTGAAAACCTTGAAGGTGGAAAAACCAACTAATCTGGAAGAGGCTGATTGGGAGGAGTTGAAGAAGCAGGAAGCTATGAACATGGTTCAAGCTGATGACTCTTATTATAGTGAAGGTCATGTTCTAGCGGTAACTAGTAACAAATTCGAACATTGTTTGGACTTGTTGGGCGTTTCTAGATGCTAGATGAGAAGGTGGTGAGGGGCGCTGTGGTGTTGGGCAGCGCGGATACCAGGAGGGGTCGTGGACCTGGTATCAATATGGGTCAATATTGGCTCGGTATGGGCTGGGCTTGTCATGAGTCACAGCTGGTATGGGCTGGTATGGGCTGGGCTTTTGGCATGAGTCACGGCTGGTATGGGTCGAGCTTGTCACGAGTCACGGCTGGTATCGGTATGGGCTTATATGGGCTCGGTATGTGCCGGTATGGCACTGGTTAGCTGATATGGGTTTGGTATGGGAGGACTTCTCGGGACGACGAAGAAGTTCGTGAACATGCACTGGGAAACGTTTGGTGCTGCGTTGTGCGTGTTGCTGGCCAGTGGTAATTGCTGGTTAGTGGAGCATTGGGCAAGGCACACGAGTTTAGTGTGACTTTGCAGGGGCGCTGTTGTGTTGGGGCAGTGTGGATACCAGGAGGGGATATGGACCTAGTATGGGCCGGATGCAGGAAGTCAGCTAAACAGGGCAGTTAGCATGAGTCGCGGCGGTATAACAGGTCGATGGCTGAGGGGCGAATGGCTTGGAACAAAGCGGTTCGTGTACATGCACTGGGTAACGTTTGATGTTGCGTATGCATGTGGCTGGCTATGTAACACCCCGTGTTACGGCCTTTAATCCTGGATTAATTATTTAATTAATCCCGCTAATAATAATTAAATATGATTAATTATGTTTAAGTTCACCTTTAATTAATTAGTAGGGTCCGCCATGAACCGTGGACCCTTGCCTAAATTAGAGGCTTAAGCCTATTAGGAATAAAGATAGTAAACCTTTTACTGTTCAGATCCTAATTAGGAATCCTAGACCTAGTTATCTATTAGGAATAAAGGAAGTAGGCCTTTTACTGTTCAGATTGTGATTAGGATCCGCTTTAATTAATATGGACCCTTATCCCTAAAGCAAGTCCCTGAGTCCTATAAGGAATAGAATTAGTAAACCCATACCATTCGGGCCCTAATTAGGAGTCTTAAATATATAAATAGGGAACTTAGGAGACACCCGGAACCCCCCACACGCCTAGACGCCCCATCACCCCAGGAGAGCTCCAAGAATTCCCTTAGAAGAAATCAAGGAAGC